CTCTCTCTCTCTCTCTCTCTCTCTCTCTCTCTCTCTCTCTCTCTCTCTCTCTTGGATACCCATCACATCTTGCTCTCTCTCTCTCTCCCTAACTCCCCATCCATTTTGTTTCCCCCTCCAGCCCGCCGCCCGCGCACAAGTGATTTTCTCAGCACTGAATGTTTTGCAGCGTGTAACATACCCTTGGGTAATCCACCTCAGTTGACACTAAGAGGAATCCCTTTACTACACAATTAGCGCTGATGAGAAGTGGGCATTGTTGATGAATAGAAGACAAGAGAACGAGGCACATAGACCTACAAACGCGGAGGGAGAGACAGCGGGAGCAGGACAAGGGGGAGGACGAGAAACGGACAAACCCAGCAGCAGCAGCAGCAGCAGCAGCCGTAGCAAAAGAGTAAACTATGATGAGGGCGACGTGATTTTTTTTATTTCACCTGGATGATGTAATTCAATCAACTAAGCAAGAAACGTGAAGACCGAACGCAGAAAGAAAGCTGGAAGACGGAACAAAACACAGACAGAATCAGAGGGGAGAGAGAGAGAGAGGGGACAACTTCTGAGCCACGAAATAGGGAGAGGCAAAGGGTAGAGAAACACAAAACTAAATTCCAAAATAATATGACAGAAGAGGCACAAGGAGACGCGCACAGAACGTGTAACCCCTGAGACAAGGAAAACCATAGGAAAACGGGAAGGTAGCTTTGATGCAAACGAACAGATACGAGAGACGGACGGGGGAGAGGTACAGTGGGGGAGTGGGGGGGGGAGGCGGGGCGGCGGAAAGGGAGAAGAGAAGAAGGAAGGAGGACAGCGGAAAGGTGAAGAGTGTTAGGTTGCTGGAAATGCATTTGCAATCGTTTTAGGCAAAAAAAAAAAAAAAAAAAAAAAAAGTTGTTTTAGGTTGCTGGACAGGTATTCATACCTGTTTACTGCGCTTCAGGGGAATTTTTATGAGAAGCCTCTTTGAGATAACAGAGTAATAAAAAAATAAAAAATAATAAATAAAAAAAAAGGTGAAGAGTAGCAGGAGGACTAAGGCTGGGCGATGAACTCACAACGGCAAGGAACGATGTCGATGACGACGACGACAAGGAACAATGGAACAATGGCGATGGGCGGCGAGGAGAAGATCCCGCTGCGCGCTGCGCGGCGGGAAAAGAGAGAGAGCTTTGTCGGTCCGCTGGAGGGGTGAAAGAATTCACAGGCGGGACAATTACCGATAGTAAATGGTAGCCCTGGCGGCGGACCACGCCCGCGCGGAGGTCGTCGGACTTCCTCACGCCGTCGAACGTTGACAGAGAGGGCAACAGCCGTGTCACTCCACATGCCCTGAGTTCAAACTCAGGGTACCGACCAATCTATTTTTTGTTTTTTGTTTTTTTCGGTTTTTCCTTTTTGGGTACCAACCAATCAAAGATTAAGGCCTACTCGGCATGCTCCAACTTCGCTTTTTTTTTCCCCTTCCAACTTTTTTCTTTTTTTTTCACTCGAGCTTTCTTTTTTTGGGAATATTTTCAAAATGCCCCTCCGACATCCATTTTTTTCGCCATGCCCCTCAGACGGCCGACTTATCCTGTCGTACCCCTCTGCAATGAATCGAGTTTCCGAAAAAAAAGCAGGGCTCGTTTTTGGCCTGGTATATGTTCAAAATGGCCCTACGCCTGCGGCGCACTTAGTGCCAACGGACTGTGATAGTCCTCTGGATACCCCTGATCGGTATTAGCGGGGTCTATGACCAACACGGGTGTGAGTGTGAGCGCGAGTGGGTTGTGTGTGGTGTTTGGGAGAGTGTTCGCCATAGCCTCGCTGCTACTCGATGAAGGGTGGGGGACCATGAGAAAGGGAGGCACAGCTACTGGCAGGTCTCGGTCTTTGTGTTAGCCAGACCCCCACTGGCGGCCCCAAACCTATACCCTAACCATTAGGGGCAAGAGGCAACATGAAATCTCCCCTTCACAGGGAGAGGAAAACTATGCTTGCAGGGGTCCCCTCTAGATAATCTTAGGAGTAGGCAGTGGAAGGTAAACAAACAGAAGTTGAGAGAAGAATATAGACAGTTGTGATCACCCCAATACAGAAAA